ATACAAGTCTATTTGTGATCAGTTGGCAGCCATTGGGCAACCATTGGACGAAGCAGATAAAGTTCATTGGTTTTTATGTGGCCTAGGACCTTCCTTTGAGACTTTCTCGGTTGCTCATCGCGCCATCAAGCCACGCCTATTGTTTCGTGATCTTCTTGCAGCTGCTGAAGGGCATGGACTCTTCCTCAAATCTGTACACAGTTCTTCTAGCACTCCTCTTGTGTCGTTCAACGCCAACACTGCTCGCAACTCCACTTCCTCTGGTCGTGGTTCCTACACTCGCGATTCTCGTAGGGGTCGCTCAGGTGGCAGGGGCCGTGGTCGGAGACCACCTCACTGCCAACTCTGTCGCAAAGATGGTCATTACGCCTCTCAATGCCCAGATCTCTCTTCATTTGCATCCCGCGGACCATCTATTGATTCACACTTAGCACATGCCTTTTCTGTCAAGTGTAATACCCAAGATGTTCCTGCCTCAGACTGGTATGTAGACTCTGGGGTATTTGCCCATATGACACCTTCGGCCTCACAATTAACCACATCACCTCCTTATACCGGAAACGATAATGTGGCATTTGGAAACGATAATATTCTAAACATCTCACGAATTGGCAATTCTTCTATTACTAAAGATATCAATCTAGGAGATGTTCTTGTGGTTCCAAATTTGTCTAAAAATTTACTTTTTATAAGCAAGTTAACATCTGATTCTCCTGTTGATGTCTTATTCTCTAATCATCATTTTGCAATTCGAAACCGTCGAACAAAGGAAGTACTAGCAACAGGCAGGGTTGAACATGGTCTATATGTGCTCGAGCATGGTCATAAAGCTTTGGTTTCTCAACTGACTAAGAATCGGCTACGAGCATCATACTAGCTTTGGCATAGTAGACTAGGACATGTTTCCTTTTCAGTTATTTCTTTATTAGACAAACATGGTTATTTATATGTTACTTCTCTTTTACCCAAACCTGGTGTTTTCTCCTCCGGTGAGCTCTCTAAAAGCCATAAGCTTCCATTTGCTATAAATGAAAAACGCTCTTTATATGTTTTGGATATGATACATTGTGACTTATGGGGCCCTGCACCCGTTGCTTCTACTAACGGCTATATGTATTATGCTATTTTTGTTGATGATTTCTTGAGGTTTACTTGGTTTTACCCTATCAAGCTCAAATATGAATTCCCTTCCATTCTTAAACATTTTATGTTATTTGTTCAAACACAATTCTCATGCAAGCTCAAGGTTTTTCAGAGTGATGGTGGGAAAGAGTTTCTTAATAATCAAGTTCAAGCTATGTTTTCTGCCAACGACACTCATCATTGAGTTTCCTGTCCCTACACCACAGAACAAAATGGTAGGGATGAACGAAAGCACCGTCACCTCATTGAAACAGGGCTTGCAATGCTTTTTAACGCAAGTGTACCAGCTTCCTTGTGGGTTGATTCATTTATTTCTGCTGTCTACATCATCAATCGACTTCCGTCTCCGGTCTTAGACAACAAATCACCATTTGAGCTTCTCTTTCACACTCAACCAAACTTTCAAGTCTTCCGTACCTTTGGTTGTCGTGTGTTCCCTTATTTACGAAGCTACTCGGATCACAATTTGGCTCCACGAAGCATCCCGTGTGTCTTTATCAGTTACAGTACACAATATAAAGGCTATCGTTGCCTTGACATGACCACCTCAAAAATTTATACTACTCGTCATGCAAAATTTGATGAGACAATATTTCCTTTTACCGGGAACACTCCACAGCTTGCTGATGCTACCTTGTTACTCTCTACTTTTGATGAACCTGTTGCTGTGTCTCTGCCAACCTCACATCCTGCTCCTCTTGATACTCCATCCACTCCTGTTTCGCTGGGTTCACATTCCAGCTCGTGTCATCTATGTCCAGATCTGGTACAACCCTTTCAACAGCCACAAACCCCTATCTTAGTACCTAATCCGGATCCAGCTTCACCGGTTCATGCCGCTCCAGGTACTCCTCCAGTTACAACCACATCAACCCATCCCATGCCTACTCGCAGCAAGGCTGGTATTACTAAGCGTCGTCTTTTTCTAGGTTTCACATCTCTAAACTCGAGTACTTTGCATGCTACCCTTCTTACTCATAAAGATCCTAAAGGATTCAAGTCAGCTGCTAAGCACTCTAAGTAGCTAGCGACTATGCACGATGAACTTCGGGCACCCAAAAATAATGACACGTGGGATCTTGTACCTCGAACCACTGCCTCGAACATTGTCGGTTCTAAATGGGTCTTTTGCACAAAGTATCGCTCAGATGGTTCTATTGATCGATATAAAGCTCACTTAGTGGCTCAAGGCTTTAATCAAATTCCGGGTATCGATTTTTCACACACCTTTAGTCCTGTTGTTAAAGCTTCCACCGTTCGTATTATTCTATCTATTGCTGTACATCAAAACTGGCCTCTACACCAACTAGACGTTAACAATGCCTTTCTTAATGGTCATCTAAGCGAAACAGTTTTCATGGAGCAGACTCCCGGGTTCATTGATTCCACCTATCCAACTCATGTATGTCGTCTCAAAAAGGCTTTGTATGGTTTGAAGCAAGCCCCAAGAGCTTGGTTTCAACGTCTTAGCTCCTTTCTTCTTCAAGTTGGGTTCATGTTTAGTCGTGATGATCCGTCCCTCTTCATGCTTAAGCAAGGTTCTTATCTTCTTTTTCTTCTGGTTTATGTCGACGATATCATTCTCACCGATAATAATAGCGATACTATTAGTACATTTATTACTCGTCTTCATAAAGAATTTGCTATTAAAGATTTGGGTCGGTTAAGCTATTTCTTGGGTATTGAAGTGCTTTATACTTCCGATGGATTATTTCTTACTCAAACAAAGTATGCACTAGATATACTAGCTCGTGCCGGTTTGTTGGATGGGAAACCGGTTTACACTCCTCTTGCCACTTCTGAACCACTTATTGCTTCTGGAGAATCATTTAATAATCCAACTCTCTATCGTTCTTTGGTTGGTGCCTTGCAGTACTTAACGATTACTCACCCTGACCTTTCTTATGCTATCAACCTGGCCTCTACACCAACTAGACGTTAACAATGCCTTTCTTAATGGTCATTTAAGCGAAACAGTTTTCATGGAGCAGCCTCCCGGGTTCATTGATTCCACCTATCCAACTCATGTATGTCGTCTCAAAAAGGCTTTGTATGGTTTGAAGCAAGCCCCAAGAGCTTGGTTTCAACGTCTTAGCTCCTTTCTTCTTCAAGTTGGGTTCACGTTTAGTCGTGCTGATCCGTCCCTCTTCATGCTTAAGCAAGGTTCTTATCTTCTTTTTCTTCTGGTTTATGTCGACGATATCATTCTCACCGATAATAATAGCGAGACTATTAGTACATTTATTACTCGTCTTCATAAAGAATTTGCTATTAAAGATTTGGGTCGGTTAAGCTATTTCTTGGGTATTGAAGTGCTTTATACTTCCGATGGATTATTTCTTACTCAAACAAAGTATGCACTGGATATACTAGCTCGTGCCGGTTTGTTGGATGGGAAACCGATTTACACTCCTCTTGCCACTTCTGAACCACTTATTGCTTCTGGAGAATCATTTCATAATCCAACTCTCTATCGTTCTTTGGTTGGTGCCTTGCAGTACTTAACGATTACTCACCCTGACCTTTCTTATGCTATCAACCTGGCCTCTACACCAACTAGACGTTAACAATGCCTTTCTTAATGGTCATCTAAGCGAAACAGTTTTCATGGAGCAGCCTCCCGGGTTCATTGATTCCACCTATCCAACTCATGTATGTCGTCTCAAAAAGGCTTTGTATGGTTTGAAGCAAGCCCCAAGACCTTGGTTTCAACGTCCTAGCTCCTTTCTTCTTCAAGTTGGGTTCACGTTTAGTCGTGCTGATCCGTCCCTCTTCATGCTTAAGCAAGGTTCTTATCTTCTTTTTCTTTTGGTTTATGTCGACGATATCATTCTCACCGATAATAATAGCGAGACTATTAGTACATTTATTACTCGTCTTCATAAAGAATTTGCTATTAAAGATTTGGGTCGGTTAAGCTATTTCTTGGGTATTGAAGTGCTTTATACTTCCGATGGATTATTTCTTACTCAAACAAAGTATGCACTGGATATACTAGCTCGTGCCGGTTTGTTGGATGGGAAACCGGTTTACACTCCTCTTGCCACTTCTGAACCACTTATTGCTTCTGGAGAATCATTTCATAATCCAACTCTTTATCGTTCTTTGGTTGGTGCCTTGCAGTACTTAACGATTACTCACCCTGACCTTTCTTATGCTATCAACCTGGCCTCTACACCAACTAGACGTTAACAATGCCTTTCTTAATGGTCATCTAAGCGAAACAGTTTTCATGAAGCAGCCTCCTGGGTTCATTGATTCCACCTATCCAACTCATGTATGTCGTCTCAAAAAGGCTTTGTATGGTTTGAAGCTAGCCCCAAGAGCTTGGTTTCAACGTCCTAGCTCCTTTCTTCTTCAAGTTGGGTTCACGTTTAGTCGTGCTGATCCGTCCCTCTTCATGCTTAAGCAAGGTTCTTATCTTCTTTTTCTTCTGGTTTATGTCGACGATATCATTCTCACCGATAATAATAGCGAGACTATTAGTACATTTATTACTCGTCTTCATAAAGAATTTGCTATTAAAGATTTGGGTCGGTTAAGCTATTTCTTGGGTATTGAAGTGCTTTATACTTCCGATGGATTATTTCTTACTCAAACAAAGTATGCACTGGATATACTAGCTCGTGCCGGTTTGTTGGATGGGAAACCGGTTTACACTCCTCTTGCCACTTCTGAACCACTTATTGCTTCTGGAGAATCATTTCATAATCCAACTCTTTATCGTTCTTTGGTTGGTGCCTTGCAGTACTTAACGATTACTCACCCTGACCTTTCTTATGCTATGAACCTGGCCTCTACACCAACTAGACGTTAACAATGCCTTTCTTAATGGTCATCTAAGCGAAACAGTTTTCATGAAGCAGCCTCCTGGGTTCATTGATTCCACCTATCAAACTCATGTATGTCGTCTCAAAAAGGCTTTGTATGGTTTGAAGCTAGCCCCAAGAGCTTGGTTTCAACGTCCTAGCTCCTTTCTTCTTCAAGTTGGGTTCACGTTTAGTCGTGCTGATCCGTCCCTCTTCATGCTTAAGCAAGGTTCTTATCTTCTTTTTCTTCTGGTTTATGTCGACGATATCATTCTCACCGGTAATAATAGCGAGACTATTAGTACATTTATTACTCGTCTTCATAAAGAATTTGCTATTAAAGATTTGGGTCGGTTAAGCTATTTCTTGGGTATTGATGTGCTTTATACTTCCGATGGATTATTTCTTACTCAAACGAAGTATGCACTGGATATACTAGCTCGTGCCGGTTTGTTGGATGGGAAACCGGTTTACACTCCTCTTGCCACTTTTGAACCACTTATTGCTTCTGGAGAATCATTTCATAATCCAACTCTCTATCGTTCTTTGGTTGGTGCCTTGCAGTACTTAACGATTACTCACCCTGACCTTTCTTATGCTATCAACCAGGTCAGTCAATTTCTGCATGCACCAACCATGGCTCACTTCCAAGCTGTAAAACACATTCTACGGTATGTCAGGGGCACTGTGGCATATGGTCTTACTTACAAGAGGTCACCCACTATTCCTCTTGTTGCTTACTCTGATGCAGACTGGGCTCGATGTACTGACACTCGACGTTCCACGTATGGCTATTCGATCTTTCTTGGTGGTAATCTTGTCTCTTGGAGTGCTAAAAAGCAACCTACTGTGTCTCGTTTGAGTCGTGAGTCTGAATATCGAGCTATAGCAAACACGGCATCTGAAGTTATTTGGATTACTCATCTCTTGCGTGAGCTTCATATCCCTATTTCTTCACTGCCTTTATTATATTCGGACAACAAGAGTGCCATTTTTCTGAGTCAAAACCCAGTTGCTCATAAACGTGCTAAACACATTGATCTTGACTATCATTTCGTGAGAGAGTTGGTTACTTCTGGCAAATTGCACACTCGGTTTATTCCTACTACACAGATGGTGGCAGATCTTTTTACCAAAAGCCTTCCTCGTCCTCTCTTTGAATATTTTCGCTCCAAGCTGTGTGTTGGACCACCACCTTCCAGCTTGACGGGGGGTATTAACGATAAGTTTATCTTATCAACATCTAAGAACTTATATCTCTACTTGATAAAATTATCTTGTTGTATTTCAAATTTTGATATCTTGTACTCTGTAAACTGTATATATAGTGCAATATACAATACTTGAGAATCATTGGAGATTAACAAATCATATATTTATAATAATAATCAAACTTTTCTATATTTAACCCGTTGTTTTATATTTCAGCCAAATACTCAACAAATAAACCTAAGAGCTCCCATCAAAACCCATTTGTGATCATTGGGTTGCCAGTGATTGCAGCAGGGCTTATCATTTCTGTGTTCATCTGTTGCTACATAAGGAAAAAGAAAGGTATGTCTTTGTTTGTTACACTCGTAGAAGAACAATAAACTTAAAGGAAATGCATCAATACACTAGTTTTTGCTAACACTTAACTGTTTGTTCTTATTAAAAGCCAATCAAAGTAAACACGAAATCCTATTAGGTTTTAGTGATAGCTTGAAATCTGTGGAGGGTTCTTTCATGAAGAAGGATTTTGGAGAAAACGTTGATTTACATGTGTTCGATCTGAGCACAATAGTTGCAGCAACCGATAATTTTTCTTTTTCAAACAAACTAGGAGAGGGTGGCTTTGGCTCAGTTTATAAGGTAATATCTTCCTTAGGATCATTAATATCTTCATGTAGCTTATGTAAATTTTTATGAGTTTTTCAGGGTAAGCTACTTAATGGACAAGAAATAGCTGTCAAAAGATTATCGCAAGGTTCAGGTCAGGGGATGCATGAATTCACGAACGAAGTGACATTGATAGCAAAACTTCAACATAGGAATCTTGTAAGGCTTTTGGGATATTGTTTTCATAAAGAAGAAAAGATGTTAATCTACGAATACTTACCAAACAAAGGCTTGGACTCTTTCATCTTCGGTTTGTTTTATGACCTACAACTTTTCCAAATCCTCGTAGGTTTCTTAAGATTTGTACTTTCTAAATTTCTCAACCTAATGGTGTTCCAGATCAAGAAAAAGGGTGTCTTTTGGATTGGAAAAAACGGTTTTTGATCATTCGGGGAATCGTTCGTGGATTGCTATATCTTCATCAGGATTCTAGGCTCAGGATCATCCACAGAGATCTGAAAGCAAGCAATGTTTTGCTAGATGCAGATTTAAACCCTAAAATTTCAGATTTTGGAATGGCAAAAATATTTGGAAGTGATCAAGACCAAGCTATAACACGTAGAGTTGTTGGAACATAGTAAGTTTCCATTATATAATTAGCACAAATCAGCTGTTTTGTTCAACTTTCCTATCCAGTATCCATCTAACATGGATACAATATAATTTGCAGTGGCTATATGTCTCCGGAGTATGCAATGGAAGGTCTTTTCTCAGTGAAATCCGATGTCTATAGCTTTGGAATTCTAGTTTTGGAGATTATCAGTGGAAGGAAGAACAACAGCTACTATCTAGAGAACTCAGTTAATTTGGTCGGACATGTAAGGAACTGATTCTATATTTTTTGTTACTTGCTTTTTGACAATTCCCAAATTAAAAGAAAGCTCATCATCATTCACATGGTTTTTAGGTTTGGGATTTATGGAAACAAGATAAAGCATTAACGGTGGTCGATTCATCATTAGGAGATGCATATGATGCTCGTGAAATTCTATTATGTATACATGTTGGGATCCTGTGCGTTCAAGAATCATCAACTGATCGGCCAACAATGACAGATGTAGCATTTATGTTAAGTAATCGTGAGACAAAACTCCCTACTCCTAATCAACCAGCATATATCTTTAGACAATTGAATTATGGTACAGATTCAACAACAGCTTCGGCTAGCTGTGGAGATGGGTCAGTCTATGATAGGAGCATCACTACCGTTCATGCTCGGTGATCCTATAATCCATTGAATCAATTACTTTGAACATGAACTCATGTCCATTCCTATAAAGTGTCAAGAATCTAGTTGTGCATTTTGTAAGTAGCATTTGGAGATACTTTCAACATTATATATATGTAATGGGTTTCAACTTATTATGGAGCGATGCAACACTGTAGCTAAAGTTGTTGCATTATTAACTTGTAGGATACATGTAAATAAGCAACTAGCTACTATTACAATCATGTGGTATGTTTGATGAAACACTACTAGAATATTTCTTTTAGCTAAGAAAAAGTACCAACGAAAATATTTTGTAGGTAGTTTTCATCCGATTTCCAACAAACTTGCAACAAAAGAGGAAAACAACAAAATTCCAACAACACAACGACAAATATGGAAACAACAAAAAGTTCGTTGGAAAATCGTCGGAAATTTCCGACAGAAAACCAACAAAATATTAATTACCATTTTGTAGGAAATATAATCACCGGGAAATGAAAATATTTCCCTTCTTTTCTTTTTGTTTTACCCCCATTTTCTTTTAAATATTGTTATTATTAGGGAAAATGACATATATGCCCTATTATGATTCTAGGGTTTAACCATATAGCCACTTAACTTATTTTGTTGCTTTATAAGGGAATGAATTATCTTTTACCTACCAATATAATCCCTTTCACATATTGTAGCCGATTTACATTTCCACATAAGCCTAGCCTAACACGTAAGCAATGACATGACAAGAATTCAAAGCGTTCAACAACCGAAACGACGTCGTATTAAATGTGAATCGTAGGGAGCACGCTTCAACTGTTCAGGCGCCTCCATGTAAAATAAACACTTAGTTGCCCTAAAATGGCACATATGCAAACTTCATTACCTCAATCCCATCTTTAAGTTCACTCCAAAATTGGAAAATGCCTTCGATCGGACATGCAGAACATAGCTGGTCTCCAAACTACCGCCGTCGCATGGAGGAGAGTCATTCCAATGGTGTAACCAACGAAGATATGGCTATCTATCTACTACAAACCTAACTCGAATTGTCTCTCATATGGGAGGACTTCCAAGACCAGTTGCGTGAGTTCCAACAGGGTGTTAATAGAGACTTGGATGCCATGAACCGTGAGGTCGATGACGTTCGCGATGTTCAGCTGGATATCTCTAATCTCATTGCTGATCTTAAGAGTCATTTCGTTTCTCTGCAAGGATCATATGTGAAGATGGTCTTCGAGCACAACAAATGTAAGAAAGTGAAGTATTGTCTTAGGATTTGTCACAACTGGAAATTTTGTGTCATGTAGTCTATACATTCAAGCTAATGTGAATCAAAAACTTCAATCAAATACATTATACAAGTACTACAAGTAGTCATCAAACAATTGGAAAACCCTAGAAGTTCTTGTTAAGTCTATTTTGGACTAGAACTTCCTTATTGGATTCAAATGGACCAATAAGCTTCCAATTGGACTATCATGGGCTTAGAACCCTAATTGGGCTCTAATTGGACCCACATTTGTTTGTTTCAATATTTTGGGCTAGGTTGGACCTAGAATGAAATAAATTAATGACTATGAACCATAATTAACCTAATATGACCCTAACAAGTCATAAAAATCACATTTAAATTTATTTGGACCAAAAATCACTCAACTTAACCATGAAAATTGGGCTTAAGTATTTAAGGCCCAAACACCCTCATTTCCTCCATTATTCTCGGCCCAAAAGCTCAAGCCCAAGAAGAGAGTTGACCATAGTGTGCCACCTCCTTATTGTCTTGTGGATCTCCATGCAAATCCATTCCATGTATCCATGCACATCACTTCATGTCTATATCTCCCTCTCTCTTCTTGAACTCGGCCGAGAGCAACACCACACACACACAAAACACTCACAAACTCTCTCTAAAATTCACTCAAGGCTTCTTCTTCTTCTCCATCCAAAATCTCGAAATTTAGGAAGCATTCAAGGAAGTTCTTCCACAAAATCATCATCTAAGGTAAGGTTTTGTTTGGATCTATGACTTGTATTCCTTATTTATCAAAAATCTCTTCCTAATCCATGCAAAAATCATGATCTTGCACTCTAGAAACCCCATAAACTCGAAAATTTCATCAAGGAGTGCAAAGGCCAAAAATCACTTCATTTCTTCCATTCTTTCTTCAAAAACCGAATCAACATCCAAGGTGAGGGTTCATATCCCCTTATTTTCGGTTTTTATGAGTTTGTGGGGGAGAATACAAGAAAAAGTGTAGATCCATCATTATGTGTATGTTGTGGTTGATTTCTATGCTTATGTGTATGCTTTGTATGATTTTGATGATAGATTTAGTATGAAATGCTAAAAAAACCGAGATTTATATCTTATTATGGCATAAAATATACTACTTCATTGCAAGTATACTAAGAAAATGGCTAAATAGCTTGACAACACTTAACTTGGGCTAAAAACTCATTTTTTTGACATAAAATGTTGAAAATACAAAGTTAAAGGGCCTAAAGTGAAATATTTCGAAATCTGATGGGTAAGATGAGTCAAAACAGTTTACACAATGTATTTTCTGAAAATATACTATTTAGAGGGTTAAAAACATAAATTCCAAGCTTATTGGGCTAAATATGACATTTTCGGCCCAATAAGGCCCAATATGCGAAATTTTCTAAATTGGAGGACTAAAACTGCATTTTTCTGTAAAACAGTGGACTATAAGTGTTCCATGTGCTTTTCAAAGGCTTAAAATGCTTTTCAAATTTAAAAGGGACCAAAGTTGTAAAAATTTTCCAAATTGGGTCAAAAATGTAAAAGTTGCGAAAAGGAGGGGCCATAACCGAGAAAACTGAAATTTCAAGGGTTTAAACTGTTTTCTATGATAAATATGCTGGAAAATACTTATTTCAATAATTTTTGGTATAAAAATGTCAAGAAAATTGATTTAAGGACCAAACCGGAAAGTTTTTAAATAAAGGGGTGAAAAGGGTAAATTCTACAATTAAGTAGGGGCTGAAAACAGAAAATCTTCAAGGCTAGTTAATACATGCAATTTGACCAATTGATGGTACCACGCTTGTCGACGAAATACAATATACTACAATACCAAAAGTCGTTGTTAAATGAATTGGTTCGGTCTCGAACCAATAAAAATCCAAAACCACTAACACGACGACGTTACGACATTTCGATTCATAACTAATAACGATGGAGAATTCACTATACATATGAGTGTGCGCAGACGTCTATGCACCATCTTTGGGCCCCAAAAGTGTAAAATCTTGTTCGTTGAGCCTAGCTAGCCCAATGACCTGATCTTAAGGCCCGAAGATCTCTCTCTCTCTTACGAAGTGTTGGGTTTTACCGATCCGACATAACGTAACAGGACTTTCAATGGCAAACGTGCTGCTGGTCCCCAAGGGTCCTTCAGTGCTGCTAGTAAAGTCGGTAACTCACGATTGCGGGATGGGCTTCGGGCCCTTCGCAATTGCATTTGTCCTGGACGACGCGGGGAAATACCGAGGGTTTCGCACCTTCTCTCCTTCCCTCCGGTCGTGGGATTACACAAGTCCGGGAGGATCGAGTTGTGTGAAGAATTACGAGTGGCACCTAAGGGGATCGCTTGTAAGGTTGTCGATTGAACATTTTCATTAACGTACGTCACAACACTTCACCACCCATTGTATTCTCAATGCCTCCGGAGCTCAATGATTTCCCTCTAACGAAACGAAACAACGGTATACAAACTAAGTAATACAAAGTGATAGGAAAACGTCGGGTTTTCCTAGGGTTTTCAACAATTACAACTTATGAATTACCGGTCGAATTTTTCACAACTCTTACGCTTACATTTATAGAATTCAAACATGCATACTCATGGATCAACATATATTTTTACACTATTCTATTATTAGAAAATATCGGATTTTCTGATGGGTTTCAAACATTACATTGGATTTCAAACACTACTTATGAACTCACCAACATTTCGTATGTTGACGTTTTTCAAAATACTTGTATTCTCAGGTAACAGATAAGGTGACGGATGATTTATACTCTATGATGTTTATTGTGGTTTAAGTGATGTTGAATAGTTATTTTGAGAATGTAACGAATGTAAACACTATCGGTTGTATTATTCCAAATGTTGGTGATGTTTTATGTTATGTTTCATGTATATGCATTGTAATGGTATTCAATGAGTCACGAAAGCCCTCGGACGTTTCCGCCGTCTGGTTCGGGGGTGTGACAGGATTGTTGGTGGTGTTACTGTGGGTGTGTTCACGTACATGTTCTTCAACTAAAAAAAACTTGTGTAGGTTAAAGCATTGTTGTCCTGGTTTTGTGTTTTGCTGTGTTATTTAAGTTGTTTAATGTTGATATTAGTAATAGATTTTGTGTCTGGTGGTGGCAGTTTTGTAAAACTCGCTGAGTTGGCCGATTACTCCTACGAGTACTCGCTACTCGGCCCCTTACCGAGACGAGTTAAAGAATCATGAGTACTCCCTGATTGGCCCTTACTGAACTGAGCAGTGTTGTAAAACCCGTTCAACTCGGTGATTAATATATATAATATACTTAATGATTTATTATTTAACACACACATGTGATTTATTCACGAAGTGAGATCATTATGTGTTTTTCAGTTTTTGTGTATCTATTTTTGTTATATATTTCAATCAACTTAAGATTTTAACTTATGATTTTGACATATATAAGTTCCCTAAAAATATATCTACATGAATAACTGAATCCGAGTACTCCCTGAGTAATCTCAAGTACTCTTGAGTACTCGCTACTCGATAGTCGGTCGAACAGGTACCGAGTAACGAGTTCTACAACCTTGGGTGCTGGTGCATAGATTTGGTGGTGGTGTTGCCTGGGCTGCTGATGGTCATCGTTAATTTTTTATCAATGATATTTGTATAGGTTACGGAATAGGAAAAATGATGTAAACAAACCCACGGCTGAAATGTTGGTTAATATATTATTATTAAAAAAATTGTCTTATACCTATTTGTTCGAATGAAACATTTGGGGATTATATATGTTTCGATAACTTGTTCCCATTCATGTGGATCTTCGTTGTTGTGATGGGACCACAAGACAAAGCAAATTGAATATACCTTTTTTAAGCAGATACACAGGGACCATGAATGGTGTAGTTGGGGAAAAGGGAGAAAATTAAACAATCTGTAACCCTTTTTTGGAAAAAGCTTTTCTAAAGTACACTTTTTCTTGTTTCATTGTCAATGCACTTTTTCCTTGTTTGATTTTTAATGGATTAATAGGCATATAACGTGGTATAGGAATAGCTTAATGGATTAAGTCACAACTATATTGTTACAGAAAATGACTTAATTACCCCCACATCCAAAAAATTTAGTAATGACAGAAGTCGATCCAAAATGGTCAATTTATTTATATGAAGAACATACACATACTTGATTACATACTATAAATGGCTAAACCACCATAAATGACCAAATACCCCTATAATTTTGTTTAATTGGCAATGAGTAAAATAACCCTAAAATCCTAGCTCCATTACAATGGCTACAATTCTCGTATTTCTTAGTTAATCCACATGAGTAACATACGAATTCCATAAAAACTTAATGTAAATGCCCGTAACGCCCCTACATATTTGTGTTATGGAAAAGACCAAAATACCAGTACATATGTAATTGATTTTAAAATAGCATATACTAACTTACCATACCATAAAATAACATAACATACATCCTTTTGTTTATTGCAATGCACATTCACTACAAATACCAAACAATTAGCTAATCTAAATCGATGGTCGTTACATGACTACTACCTTCACCTCCCACGCTTTTAGCAAGCTTCATTTTAATGATTCTTTCTAACTTCTTCCTTTTATTAGGTGGTCGTACATGCTGAACTTGACGAACACGAGCATTAACCTTAACCCCTTCAAACCGTCCATTGATTCCCACCATTTGCTCTTCCTGACCAGCCTTCTTCAATGCATCCCCTGCATCAACCATTACCTCATCATCCCCACCCAATTTTGTAACATTCACAGACTCCTGCATAGGTATAATCTTTTGTTTCTTTGTCCCATTTTTTTCGATGGCCCTATAACTTTACTACAACTAGCCTTGTTGTGACCTTCCCCTTTTCATATGATACAAGAAACCTTATTCCCTACCTTTGAAATGGTGTGTTTTCCCAAACATTCGGAAGCATCGATTTTTCTCTTTATGGTTGGCCTGCCTGGCATACATCTTTTCAATGGAGGCAAAGGGGGTGTCAAGTCAGCAGAAGGACACATATTTTTTCCATTCATCCCAAGGATTGGCTGTTTGTAAGTATTATGGAAGAATGCAACCAAGTACATTGGATCTACATATGGCCCATCAGGTGTGATATTTAAATAGGCTAAGGTGGAAATTGAATGTATGCAGCCATATCCATTAAGTTACCATAGCCTACAATTGCATTCCTTTTTTTCAACATGAATAATATATGACTCGTCTATTTTCCTTGCCTCAAACTTCATTCCCCCACAAGATACGACTTGCCAATGCCTACGTAGATGAAAACCCAAAATATTATGAGATGTGACCAGTATGGGATGGATTTTATTGGATAAGTGTACAAACCTTTGCTCAGTCTAGAGCATATTCAACTGTATTCTAATATTTAGACAAACAGAATAACGATTCCATCCCTGCCCAGTTAGTTTCATAGTCACCATTCTTTGCATCACATATATACGAATGTCCTCTAACATGCTTATGATTGCTTTCTTCCGGGCATCCAAAAGCATACTATTAAAGCTCTTTGAAAAACCATTCTCCACTGACTTACAAGAAGAATTGTGAACTCTGAAAAAAAGCTAAAGACCAACTCTTTGGATCTCTATCCATAAGATGCACAACTGCATCATGATTTAAGTTTTCAATCTCTTTCATAACTCCATTAAAATGTGCTTTAGTTGTTGCCTTACTTGCTTTTCAAAACAAATTTTCAAACTTGGCACCACTAAATCTCTTTCTAAAATTCGCATAGATATGTCTAGCACACTACCTATGTTCAGCTGCTGGAAATACTTTTTTTACTGCCTCAATCAAACCCTACATAAGTCACATGAATGTTTGAAATTAGAATTGCAATTACTATTTTTAGAACATGAAATATTTATGTACCGTACCTTGCGTTGATCTGAAATTAGAACCAAACCTTGTCCTTCATTCCAACATTGCAAATCTTCAAAAAGAGTTTCTATAAACCATTTCCAATTCTCCTTGTTTTCCACACGAACAATCGCCCAAGCAATTGGGAATATTCCATTATTAGCATCCTTACAAACATCACAAAGCAACTCCCCTTGGCAAAAACTTTTCAGAAAATAACCATCCAGGTTAATGATCATCATCCTCCCCACCATCCCTCTTTTACTGAAGCAAAACATATGTACATCTTGTTGAAGTAATTCTTACCATCAGGCATTGCATCAACATAAATTTTAACTGTGGATCCAGGATTTGATCTTCTAATCTCCTCACCATATGACCATATTCTTGCATAATTTTCAGCTACTGTGCCTTCAGCTAGAGTTAATGCATACTTCTTGGCTCTCCTACACTGACTCATACTCATATCAATGCCAAACGTGTTTTTTACCTCCTCATCAAGCAATCAGACACTCATCTTTTGATTGTTATAAAATTGTTGCTTAAAGTGGATCCTTGTCCATTTGTAAGTCACAATTGATCAGAATTTGAAATTCTTTGCACAATTATGCTCACCAATAAGAGAATTTATCTGGAAAGACTTATCATCAGTCATCCAAGAACCCCAAACCCTAAATGTACATTTTCCATCACAACATTTGGCAAGTAATCGTCTACTATCATTCTTAACAAAACATAATTGATAACCATTCGTGACAACATAGTTACAAAGCATGTGTTTCAATTGTTTAGGACTCTCAAACCTCATACCTAAGTCAGGTTCCTGCTCCTTCCAATTGAGCTTATCATTGAAAATATTTGGCAAGTCAGGATGAACATCTTCATTGTCATCCATGTCTTCTTCGAAAGACTCACCTACACCTGCATTCTCACCCATGTCTACCTAAATCCCATTATCATTTATGAAAAAATGAGGGTTCTCATGGTTATCCTCATCGTCATTAGCATCCTCATCCTCTTCGTCATCCTCCTTGCCAATCTCTTCCTCATCGTCAACATCAGCCACATCTTGATGGCCTGTTTCAACTTCCTTAATTAGTCCTGCACCATAAAGTACCTCTTCCTCTATGTTACCAAAAACCACATTTTTATGTTCATCTAACCGTTCCTGCATGTTACTATTCCTAAAATGGTCTACATACATAGGGAGTATAACACCACATTTATATGTAATTGCTATAAAGTCGAAATAATCTAAGTCGTTGCTAATTAAAGTCAAACCTTTTGGAAAATAAATATCAGGTTGGAAGTAATAGAGCTTCTCACACTTTTCCCCAGTAAACCTTTCAATGAATGCAACACACCTGTCCTTATAGGCCTGCAAAATCAATGTCCCAAAACCTCTGAGTAATTCCACAAATATAGCGTATAAGGTTTCTGGAGAACATTCCTTGGAAGTGGACATCTACTTGTAAGAATACAGGTTCCATGTTTGAGGATTTAGAAGCAGATAACAAGAAAGGGCTCAATAACTATGCTTCTAATCCCTCCTTCTCCTTTTTCTGTCAAATTAAATCCTATAAGTTACCATTCAGCCCCACCTTCAAAAATCTTTACAATCCAGACCAGATGTTACCCCTTTAGCCCTTGCCTTCAAAAATTCTTTCATAATAAGTCCATATTTTACTAAACACACCCCTGAATTCTGAAAACCGTCACAACATGAATCCCAAAATTACACTTTAACCCTTGGAAATCAAAATTGTATCATTTGGCACCCCGAAACCAACACCCCACTAATTATTATTTGATTTTGGGCAATAATAATATAAAATAATAATAAAATTACTTCTCGGGGTTGCGGGTTTATTATTTAATTATTCTACTTTAAACGGGATGTTGCAACTCTCCCCCACTTAAATTTAATTTTGTCCTCGATATCGTTTCTTATCATCCCTAGCACGCTAGGCAACTTAAGCAACACGATCACAACTACGAGCATAACCCCAACCTTTCCAAGGCAAACGTAACCAACCCTTGTAAGGTTCTAAAACCTGAAGATAAACAAATTCCTTGCAATATGATCACATTTACTCAATCCGAAATCTGAAGTCTCGAGATGGTCTATCCCCTTGACAACCGCCCACATGGGATCATTGTCGATTTCATTGCACTTAGCTCCCAACTGGCTACTCAACTTCTGATAACCTGAGGTTCTCACCTGAAAGCATAACCACAAATCACACACTACTACCTAGAACTCTTTTCTTAACAAGAAATTAGGTACTCCTTGAAGAGAAACCCGTTTTGATAACCAATTCTCAGGGATATAATGAACAACAGGATGTAAACTAGGAGATGATCCCATTAAGGATTAACAAGATAATGCTTCCTTTATCCCCATGACCACATGCATATAATAACCGACTCATAAGCACAAACACTCATACTTGGCCCAATCAGCCTCGGGGTGGAATACCAGGCATGCCTACGAAGGGTTCAGTCATCCTATTGCGCCATTATTGATGCTTATTGCGCCATCCATACTCCTTGTTGCGCCATATGGAGATGTTGCGCCATGGAGAAGTTATTGTGCCATCATAGACCATCTTGGTACGTGATGCACTATATTGATTCCTTTTTTGTGCCATGTTGATCCATGTATGCCTTGAAGATGATAAATCTGAAGAATGTTCCAGAAGATGCTGCACGGCGGATTGTGATTGGTTGACACCTTCCATGGGCCTATGGGCCAACGGAGTTGGACCATTAGGGTTTTAGGTTTGATCCCTCAAGTAGAAATATGTATGCATGTTAGATCATTTTGTATCTTGAATTCTAGAGTGATAGGTGAATCTCTATGTGTATGTACTTGTAACCTCTGTTTCAGAGCTCTGAAATAAAAAAAATACTCCCCTCCTGCCCGTGGACGTAGGTCACCTTGTCGAACCATGTAAATACTGCATCTTGTGTGCTTATAGTTATGCTAGTTATCCGCTTTCTAACAATACCCATAGGAAATATGTTGGAAATGGGTGTGATACAATATTTTGGACATATATTTGGGTGGGAGAAACTCCTTTCATGTCGAGGTTTGATAGATTATTTTCTTTGGAGATGTGTAAAGAGTGTTTAGTACATCAAAGGTGGGCTGCAATGGGAGTTTGGCCTTCACATCGACCCATAAGAAGTAGTTATGAGTAAGTGCAATTTCATGAATTGAGGAGGATTTTGTGTGATGTGTCCCTTTTTGATGTCAATGATAAATGGTGATGGGTTTTACAAAGTTCGATTGACTTTATGGTATCTAATACTAGGAAAATTAATGATCAAATGTTGCTTCCGAATGTGGCTACTCCCACTAGATGGAATCCATACATCCGTAGGAAGGTTAATATATTTTGTCATGTGCCTTGTTGGATCGTCTTCCTATGAGATGAAATTTAAGTCGTAAAGGGGGTTGAAGTGGCTTCTTTGTTATGTTCGATTTGTTCTTCTTCAGTGGAAGTTCTGAATCGTGTTTTCGCTTCTTGTGAGCTTGCATTTGGGAGAAAAATTGTTGGCTTCATACGATTCAACCGATTTGGACGATAATTGATGACATTATTAATTGATGGACTCGATTTCAGAAGGTGCTAAGAAAAGGAATATGGTGGAGCCTATTTTCTTTGTCGTTCTTTAGATGATATGGTGGTTTTGTAATGACCCAATGTTTGGAGGGTTGGTGCATCGATGGGATGAGATTTTGACAACATTGATAATTTTAAGTCTAATTGGTTCGTTTTTCAAAACTCAAAATTTTATGTCACATTGGTTGATTGACTTAATAACCTTGATCTAGCTATTTCCTTGTAACATTTTGTTTTGTTTTAATTTTTTGTTTTTTGTTTTTTTATTTTTAATTAAATTCATCCATTCTAAAAAAAGAATCGTTTAGATTTTAGCTAAAACAAAAAGTTTCAAATTCAGAAAACTACTTCAAATAGCATTTAATATATATATATATATATATATATATATATATATATATATATATATATATATATATATATATATATATATAAAATTTTGTAAATTGACTTATCATTTTTTAAAATCAAAGGCCTATTTTATTGAAGTCGTTTCATGTAAATTTACATGTTTTAAAAAGTTCTACCTATTTTTATTCGAGCACTCCTACAAAAACAAAATTTAAAGCTTTAACTAGTTTTACCGAACATTTACAATATTTTATACATCAAACGTTTAATGAATATGCAAAGCTAGCTGTTATAAACATATACATTAGCAATAATATAGAATATTGAAAATATATAAAACAAATTAGTAAATATAAAAAACATTAGATATGCAAATACATAATAACGAAAACCGAACTATATATCCAAACAGCAAAGTAAAATCACATCATACTTATACGATTTATAATATACAAATATGTCAACCTTTTGATAATAATTAACTTAATAATGGAAATATAGATAACAAAAATAATCTGTCACACGCTAGAATAGAAAACTGTCCTTAGCCCTTCTCCAATATTTTAGTGGACAATATGATTAATTTTTTCACTGCCCTGATTTTCTGTGTATGTAGGTGTTATAAAATCCCTATATGGTCATGACCTTGGTTGTAGAGCTTGGTTCCCTATTAGAGCATGGCAAGGTCTTTGCTAGTACGGGGTTATTCATATGTTAAACCAGTTGAGAACTTGAGGCAAGGTCTTTGCCCTATGAAGGTTGGTGACCGACTGTCTACGTCTTTTTGGTAGGACACGTGGATAGGTGCCGCACCTCTCCTCTCCATTGTTCCTAGAGTTTTTGATATGGATACATTTAGACACATTCCTAGAGGAGGAGCCGAGTTGGAGCAGTGGGGCGAATGACTTTTACTTTTATAGGATTTCCAACTCCACTCAATCCTAGATGTCCCATACAGATTAGGTTGGAATGTTGACTCTTCTGATACTTTTATCTTTCTTCTGCTCGAACATATATTGATGGCATTTTGTTTTTTTTTGGAGGTTCTGAAGACCGATGGAACAATTGGATGCCCATTAAAGTCAACATTATTTTATGGATGATCAGGTTACTTAGTATCCCTACTAGAGAGTGTTTATCTCATAGGGGTATTCTTGTGGATTCGATTATGTTTCCAATTTGTTCTTATTTTATGGAGATAGTGGACCAAATGTTTGTAGGTTGTACCAATTTGACTGTTTCTTTATGGTCACATGTTGTTGTTTGGTGGGGTCTCCAAGTTCCTTCTTAAGTTTCATTGAAGTCTCTTATCTCGTAGTCGGATTCCATTTCTTTGAGAGTTGACCAGATGTAACACCCAGAATCTAGAAGAGAAATAAAGGAAGGAAAACCCCTAAATGATGAAGTCAACTCGTCGAGTCCATGGACGAACTCGGCGAGTCGGAGCGGTTTTTGAGTCGCGAGTTAAGTGATCGACTCGGCGAGTTGGTCAAGGGTTTGGGAAACCCTAAGTTCGGGCATTGTACCCTATTTAAAGAACATCATAAGACTCCCTTAGCCTCCTTAATGCTCTCTCAAGTCTAGAAGGAAGCCCTAGTGCCTTCCATGAGCTTATGAGCAATTATTGAGCATTCTTGAGTGTTTTGGATCTTGAAGAAGATGGTGAAACCTTCGGGATACAAGAAGAGACTAGTAGATCCAGAAACCTCTTTTATCCTTCTCCATTTTCTGGTAAGAAAGCTTTAAACTTGATCATTATGCACTTAGATCTCTTCTTTGTTACTTTTCGAGGTTTTGGTCCAAGAACCCTAGCATGTGAGGAATGGACGTCCCAAGGGATTATGCTTTCAGATCTAGAACCATTAAGGGTTGTTATGGCATAAAGGTGAAAGCTTTATGCCATAGGAATCCCCATGCAAGCATAAGAAGTGTTCTTTTGTCCTTTTTAGCTCACAAGGCCATGTATGGAGGAAAAAGGCAGGAGCTTTGCATGGTTATGAGGTTATTAGGTCCAGATCTGTGTTTGGATGCATTGGATTGGGGTTAGATGGCTTGAGGACCTAGATCCAAGTCCTTAAGAGTTAGGTTTACATGGAAACCCATTAAGTGAGGATATTAACTGGTAAAGTTGGAAACTTTACCCTTCAAAGGTCATTTCCAATGTATCTTCGAAGTTTGGAGCTTGGATCTGTAGAATATTGGCTTAATCCATTAAGATAGCCCAACAAAATGAGGGAATCAATGAGTCCAGGGAGGGACTCGACGGGTTAAAGTGAGCTGTCCCATTTATGTTCATGCGAGGACTCGACGAGTAGCTTCTATAAATCGTGACCCGGAGTAACTAGGGGACTCGAAGAGTTAGGGGCTGATGTAGCAGGCTAGGCCGAATGTTTGTAGTATGTGATTATGTGTATGTTATCAGGTAGACTGGGGAACTCACTAAAATTCGTGCTTACAACTTTCAGTTTTGGTTTTAGGTACTTCCGGTAGCGGAAGGAGGAGCTTGGGATGATTGCATGGCACACACCAAGAAGTTTTAGACTTTGATGTTTACTCTTATAAAAAAAATCATATTTTGAGATGATGCTGTGATTTAATATAACGATTTTTGTTTTCGAATGAAATGGTTGATAATTATGGTTTTTATTAATGATTTAAAACGAAATTTTTAGACTGTATTTTTGGGATGTTTGATGAGAGAAAAGCATTTGATGATGTGGTATGACTTCTTTTGGTGCATTTGGAATTTCAAGAATCCTTTGATTTTTGGAGCGGCCTCCCCTTCAAAAGCTTTGATTTTTGATGATGTTGGTTATAGGGCATTGTTTTGGATTTATAATAGGCGTTCTAAAGCCAAGATTAGTTGGAATTCATGGCTTCATAATCCTATTTCCACCACAACTTTGATGTAATGTTTTTGTTCTAGCTTCTTGCCAATTTTTATAAAATTCCGTCATTCTAACTATAGCTATATTTTGTAGAACAGAGTGCAAAATTCATTAGCATGGAAAAGGACGCCAAAACCAGAAGTTCAAAGCAAATTACCCAAAAAAAAATAAACAAATAAAATGATTGAAATGGGGGGTATACAAGAGCTAGCCCAACAAATTTTACTAAGATTACATATAATATTAATCCAATTAAAAGAACAATTATTAAATGTTGTCTATTTCCACTACTTAAGCATCAATGAGATGTGTAACAGATTTTCTTGGTGATTTTAGTGTCATCATGTCATTTTAAGTAATTAGAATTGACATGTAAGCTAAGGGGCTTCATAATTTGTACGTTAATATATGTACGGGGTTGTGCGGAGTGAACATATGTATAAGATCGAATTAGAAGCTAGTTCGATGACTCGTCGGAGGTCCGGGGGCAGCGCCCCTTTGGCGGGGTTGAAGGGGCACATCCCCAAAACCTCACCGAATTTTACATATGGGAACATAGTAAAAAACTCAATTTGTTGAGGGTGATTATGGTAAAACTAATGGAACTCGTTAGTTTTAGTAACCCTAATCCGGATTATCCTAACTTGCTTCCAAAGCAACTAATGATGGTCCAATCCTGATGAAACTCTAATCTCGTTTAATATATAAACGGTTCTTCCTCTTTAGAAGAGTACGACGAATTTTGGCTCTTATTTTCATCAAACTCTCACATAATCTCTCTAGCAAATTGGCTTACGATTTCTTTGCCTAGAATCGTAAGTGTCCACTTCGATTATCCTAGGCTAAATTTCTTGCAACCCAGGCATAGTGTATAAATATCAGTTCGGAAAGTGTTCTGACGATTGAATTTGGTATCCAGATCTCCACCACAAACCCAAATATTTCTTACATATTTCACCTAAAAAACCTTTACCATCGTCTATCTATTATTAATCGTTGGTAAAATGTCAAATTCATTTTAATAAATAAACAATAAATCAAACTTGGAATACTATAGTAAGTTTTTAACTATAGTTTTTAATCATTCCAAAGTAAGCGAAAAAAGTAAATATAAAGAGAACTTCGTGAAAAGAAAATTATTTAAACGAAGATTTAGATTAATTTATATTTTAGAGAGCAATGTGCTACAGGAATAAGACTATAATTTAAAAAGGTAAAGTTGGCTTCGACAGAATCAAGAATTTTAATCCATTAAAGATTGAATCTCAAGAATCAAGAGTCAATACTCTCTTGACCCAAAGTAATCGCTTTAGCCCATGTCCCTTGATTTTCAGGTGACTTGTCTTTTTTTTTTTTTTTTTTTTCTTTTATCCTAATAAATAAAATCCTTCGGTTATTATTTTCTCCTTTGACGTTTTTTCTTGCTTTTGACACATTTAATTTTATGAATCTTTTTAAGTTATTTTATTTCTAACATGTCATCTTATTATCTATTTCATTTTTTTAGGAAAAACAAGCAACGACTCTACAATGTATTTCAACTTTACCATTTCAGTCCCTGATTTTTTTTTTCGTGCCCTTTAAGGGAACAATGTTAATGTCGATCAGCTTTTTTGGTCACTGTTACCTAATATATCAGGTTAAATTTGATGTGGCTTATGATTTGAAATTTTTTTAGTTAAAAAAAAGAATAATAAAAATTTGGGCCCACCATCTCTCTCTCTCTCTCTCTCTCTCTCTCTCTCTCTCTCTCTCTCTCTCTCTCTCTCTCTCTCTCTCTCTCTCTCTCTCTCTGATACATGATACCGTACAAGAATCCAACCACATAGCACTCTCTGCACCATTAAAGTTTGACCATTGTCTCAAAGGGAAAGAAACTAAATTTCTCCTAGACATAAGCCCTAACATTGCCTTCAGTGATGTTGACTGCCGATTATTTGAAGTTTGTATGAATCAAGTATATGAAATGAAATCAGAGTACATATTGAATAAAGAACACAAAACGTAAATAAGATCCATTTTGCTCTATTATCGCTTTTGAAAGAGTACACAAGTATGGAAGAGTAAAGTTTACAAGAGTGCACAAAGTTACTCTGACTCATATACTTATCCTTATTTATAGGAACAACAGAAGCAAACAAAAAAATGCATAAGGGCTAAGACACATACGCTTCGAACTCTAAAATGCCCTTATGAAATACATACATTCGAATATACAATACAGACTTCGAAACTGATCAATCCTAAAAGTACTTCGACATCTCACAACACATTTCAAACTCTACATTCTCCCCTTTGTAAGAAGTGTCGAATCTATGTCATTAGCATATTTGTGGCTTGATGAAGTACCCTGTGAATCTCCTTTTAACTTCTTCTCCACCTTCTCACTAGCATTTTTACTCTCTTTCTTCTCAACCTTCGACTCTTCTCTAACTATCTTCCCAGATAATGAGTTTCCCTTGAAACCACTATTTCCTTTGAACTTCAGATTGAACGGCTTGTTTAATAACTTCTTAACTTTGTTATTCGAGTAGTATGCCATAACTTCATCTTCCGAATTCATGAGAAAACCCTCATCACCAGGACCATTAACCTCAGTAGATTCGACTTCAAACTATTTTCCTGACACCTTCAAAACCAATGCAAGAGGACCTCCGAGATTCATTTTCCTTCTTCAACTATTTCGCTAATCTCACTTTCATGGGATTTTAGAACATTATAGAGATCTCCTAGAAAATATATGTCAAAGCTCTGTTGTCGTTTGATCATAAAACTAATGTTTCTCCATTTCTATCGAAGTCCCATTAAGAAAGTGAGATTGTACTCGAGAGTAGAACGATTGACTCCATAATGACTACAATTGAAGATCAACTCGTTAAGATGATCGTAATAAAGTTCGATAGTTTCATTCTCCTTCTGCTTGAATTCTCCTAATTCGAGAAAGACCTGTTTCAACGAGCTCTTTCTAGTCTTCTCACTTCCCTGATACTTCTCTTTCAAAGTATCCCATATCTCTTTAGTTGTTCCTCAACCGCATACATAATTGTAAACCACCGGTGGAAGAGCACCGAAAAGTTCATACAAACATTTCTTATCGTTTTCCTTTTGTTTATATGCTTGTAGTGAAACATCATCAGATGAACCAGCTGTTCCAGTCTGTTCTAGCCTCCATGGATGATAGTCTCCACTGGTAATACAATTCCAAAGATCTTCATTAATCCCATTGCGATAATATTCCATTCTATCTACCTATTGTTCATAATATTCATGAATCGTCATATAAAATTTGGTTGAAGAAGCGAGAAGATGAGAGAAATTGGTCATCGTCTTTGTGTTGAAGTTTGCCATTGATGTACTGATAAAAATGATGAAAATCTTTAGAAAGAAGAATCTAATGAATGAATCTTTCAGAAAAAGATCAAGGAACACTTGATATTTTCAAACGAAATGCAGAATCAACTCAAAACAGTTGATCAGAAAAGATCTTCTTGATCAAAAGTGTGGAGTATTTCTGAATCGAAAATAGTGATTCAAAAACTTTTGAAACTACAAGAAAATCAGAAATCAACTGAAAGAATCTTGCTTTGATACCAAATGAATTTCGTATTAATCGAGTATATGAAATGAAATCAGAGTACAAATTGAATTAAGAACACAAAACGTAAATAAGATCTCTTTGGCTCTAGTATTCCTATATGTATCCTTATTTATAGGGAAAAAAAAGCAAACAAAAAATACGTAAGGGCTAAGACATAACATATGCTTCGAATTCTAAAATGGCCTTACGAAATACATACATTCTAGTATACAATACAGACTTCAAAACCGATCAAGCCTAAAAGTACTTTGACATCTCATAACACATTTCGAACTCTACATTATTACTAGAACCACCATTAGCACCGCCTTTGAGGTCACTAGCTGTCGGTGGTTGTTATTCCTCCACCACCACCTCATTGGTTGTATTATGGTTTTGATTTTCAACCACAAAAGCATCCAATTTAATAGCTAATGATTCTTGGCTAGCCCTCTACCAACCAACACCATCTCATGTGACTCCCTTGTATTTCTTCACCTTCAACTTCACCAAATTAGGGCACCCAAGTGCTACAACTTCCATTCCATGATCGGAAACAGGGCAATGCTTGATGTATATCTTCCACAACTTCGTGCATTTAGCATCTATGTAAGACCTCGGCATTGCCTATGGTCTCACTCCCACATAGCGCCAGTCGCTCTAGCTTCAGGTAGTTTGAAGCCAATCGTGATAAATTAGCATGGATGAGATTTACACCGATAAGGATTAACTCTTGAAGGTTATGGCAGTATTTTGCTACACCGATCAAACCTTCATCGTCAATCCTGTTTTTTTCCACCGGTCGATAGAAAGCTTCCTCATAAGCTTACACTTCTCAGCCATAGATGCTAGCCCCAAATTAGTACATTCAAGTGTTTTTATGAGGTGAAGGATTTCAAGATTTACACAATTGGAAAGGGATGCAAGGCCAACATCGGTTACTTGAAATCTCTCCAGATGCACCTCATTCAATCCGTTGATGTTATTCATTACAAGTTTCAGAACCCCATCCCAATCTTTAGAACATCTGAAGAGTCTCATGGTTCTAATATTTTCGGATCCGACTATCAGTAGCACAAAACATTGTCCGTTGTAGAGATTCTTCACAGAAATCATTTTAAGAGACGATAATGTTGAATCAGGTCTAATCCGCGCGGGGGGGGGGGGGGGGCACATGTTTTATGTATTAGCCACAATTTTAGATTCAAGATTATATATATATATTATATATATATATATATATATATATATATATATATATAGAGAGAGAGAGAGAGAGAGAGAGAGAGAGAGATGGTGGGCCTCAATTTTTATTATTCTGTTTTTTTTACTAAAAAAATTGCAAATCAAAAGCCACATCAGTTTTAACCTGGTAAATTAGGTCGTAGTGACAAAAAAAACAAGTCAACATCAACTTTGTTCCCTTAAACGGCACGAAAAAAACTTTAGGGACTGAAAGAGTAAAGTCGAATTACATAGTGGGGCCGCTGCGTCATTTTCCCTTCTTTTTATTGTTGTATCATTACAGTATCTTTATTGCCATGTCATTAAAGTAATTGAGAGACACCATTAATATATATTATTAACTAATGAGCGAGCATGTGGTGAACCATGAGTCACCATTGTGGCTGCTCTTATATGTTTATTGAAACCGTTATTACTAAAACACGTCTTGTTTTATTCACACAGGATGATTATGAGAAAATATGAAAAAACGAAACCCAAAATGGAAGCACAAATTGGTAGACGAAAAAGGGACAAAAGTAATGTCAAAATGGTTTAAGAGACCGAAAGTGAGAAATATTAGAATGTGCGTGGTCGATATGTAATGAAAAATAAGAATTAAGACGAAAAAAAAGCGACAAAAGGATGGAGAAAATGGTCAGAGGGACTTACAGTGACAAATATTAAAAGCAATGTGACCAAATTATAATTACAACAAGCCAGGAACCAAAATTGTCAAACTATACACAAAAGGACCAAAATTTTCAATGTATTACCAAAATGACCAAAATTATCAAAGTGAAGAGAGTATTGTGGTAAATTCTTAAAAGATACAAAGTATACTATTCCTAATGACCATTAATATATGTCTATTAATATAGTACCTAGAAAACATTTAATCCACAACTGTAAGTCAAAACTTAGCGATTTCATCCAATATACCACACAACATAATATACATAAATGCATGCATACATAAGCCTATAGTCTGTTTGGCCCACCTCGCAAGGCCTACATCATGCTTGGACTACTCTCATGAGCCTACAGTCTTATTGTACCGCCTCACAAGGCCTATAGTACACTTAGACCTCTCTTTCTCTCTCTCTCTCTCTCTCATACCCATCATAAAGCTGACCAAAACACAGCCTACGACACACCGTTGGCCTATCCAGGGTATCTTGGCCTACAACACAAAGCAGGATCGCCTCAACCCACCACCCAATATTTCGACATACGTAACAAGCAAGAAATCAAGTAAACACATAAATAGAAGCAGTTATATATACTAATCTACTTGTCTAACAACTCACTGCCTCATACAAGGCCTCATAGAGTACATTACGCCACTACCGACAGATATCCAAGGAATCTATAGCTATATGTACCCAGAGGTAAGATAAAGATTCGAATAGGTGATCCCACTCTAGAGCCACAACCAAACAAGGAAGAGGCAAGAAAGCCTAAATCAAGAGTTCTTAGGTTATCCTACGTAACTACATAAATCCTTTAGGACACTCTACTAGACGATCACTAACCTATTGGTACTCTAACCAACATACCGCTACTCTTATATCCTGACATAGAAAGATATACACTATAACACGTAGTATAGTGAGGAAACTCCCTTAAATCAAATACACCAGGAAACACAATAGCGCCCTCACTCCTTGCATTAATCACTTCAACGACCCGACTAACATTAAGTATAGATAAATCCTTAATCAATAACCTAAGCCCTTTAAGTTTGACCCAAAGTTAAACTGGTCAAAAGTCGACAGTTAACGGTCAATCAAATCAACACTCACCATGACATGGAGACCTCTTGGCCACATCATAGGCACATCATGAAAAAGTAGTCACAGAGCTGAGAACTACCATGTTGTGGCAAGCCCATTGCTACGTTGTAGAAACTGATAAATTGTCACACTCTTTATTAAGAACTTCACCTTTACAGATCTAAACCCATAACTTCATATATATTCCTTTCTAATGACTTAATGGATAAAGTTCTCAATCTTATCCATTAGGAAACCACTATAATCTAAGATCTATAATTTTATGCCCATTAATTCCTTAATGAGGCTATAACTTGATCATGGACACAAGGAATGCCAAACATTACTCTTTTTCTTATTTATTAGAAGTTTGTTGACCTTAGAAAGCCATCTCAAGCTCTAGCGTTCTTCAAACTCCAAGAGAATCCAAGGAAGGGGCCAAAATCAAGAAAAATGAACATTTACTTGCATCAAGAAAGGAAAATGTCAAGATGAGAGCTTTATACCTCTAACAACGAAGAAATATGAAGGAGATGATGGATCCAAGTTTATTCCTTACTTCCTTGCACCAAACTGATCTTTTTTCCTCAAGCTCTACCAAAATACAAGAATAAGGTCTTTAATGAAGCAACCAAACTATTAATCATCCATGGATAGGGTTTCATGGTGAAGGGTTGGAGCCTGAAGAGGATGCACTAATCCTTGAGATTAGCTGCTTAAATATGGAAGAACCTTAAAAGTCATGGGTTGGGCTACAATCGATGCCATGTTGTGGCCATCCTCTTGTCATGTTGTAGTGGCCATCCAAATACGCGTTTCATAAATTTAGAATTCCATGTCATGGTTCTCCATTCAACACATCGTGGCACAATGTTTTTTCTAAAAACCTCTCTTGTAATTCCTTAATCCTTCAACCAATCTATCTTGGAAAACGAGCGTTATAATTCTTCCCCACTTAAATTAGATGTCATCCTCGAAATTTGTCCTCAAAATTTACTCTTATAAAACTGTTCAAACCCCTTGTGGTTTCTCCAAACTCGATTCCTTGAACATGAGTCAAGATCACTTCGAATGTCAGAATCTATAACCAATAAAAAAGGATCCAAAACTAGGCTCATAAGCCAACCTGATCACAAACTTCCAAAGATGGAAATCACATCCAATGCAACATACCTTAAGAAGATGACCACTTTTCAATACTGGTGCCGACACAATTCTTATACGTGACATGAAGAAGAACAAACTCCAATATAAAACCACTTATCGGTAATGACGAGAACTAATTTCGACCAAGACCTCATGACCTTACGCCATCTTCCAAATAACCAAAGAAGCAATCTTCAACCAAACTCAATAGCTGAAAGCTTCACACACCGACATACAAGAAAAATCCTGAAACAAAATCCTATAGGCACAGACTAAACTAACCTATACATCAACCATGTTGGCCAGAAATCCACAAATTCGATCTTTCCAAGATCTCCTCGGGTACAGGTCGTCCAACTGGTTAGCTGAATTATGGAATCCACAACCGACCGCCATCGCTGATAGCCTCGCTTATATACACAAAGGAAAACCCGGATCGAGAAACAACAAACACATACTAAACCAGGTTACAGACCTTCTTGACTCTAATAGCCACTATTGATGGCTTTTTTAGATGTCAACTATGTATAATGCGGAAAACAATTAACACTTAATACAATACATGCGTCCTATAAAAGATTTATATCATACACTTTGATAGAATTATACATTGAACAACCAAACTCATCTAACCCTAGTGTAGATCGAAAATTACAAAGTTTAGGATACATACCTTTGATTTGTTAAAGCAAGTAAATTAAACCAATCCTTAAAGACATGAAGCTTGGTAAGAGTAGCACCAAAGAGATAATGGCTTTAATGGTCTGTACCAAAATCTTAGAAACAATAACACAAGAGGAAAGAGGAGGAGGGTAAGGAATTTCAGCAATTGATGTGCTTGAGAGCATGAAAGAAAATAATGACCCTAAAGGTCCTACTTATAGGTGATAAAGAATCATTGGATAACACTCAACTGAATATAATAATAATAATATCTAAAACTAGGCAATTATCTAAATCCTTTACTTATTCTCCAAGGCTTCCTAGAAGCCTTAGGAAGGTCCACCAAACCATCCCCATGAGGGAGGTTATAGAATCTCTTCATTGCTCAGCTTTTTAACAATGCCACCTTAATTCCTTGCATTTCTAATTAATTTAATTAATCCCAAAAATTAATTCCAATTAAATTTTGATTAATTCTAAGTTAATAATTACCATTTCTAATTAATATATTAATCATATAATATATTAATAAGTTTTACTCTCTCTAAATATAATTCTTCTCAATTGCTAGTTCGGAGGGCAACCCAAAAAAGATTTTGTGTTTATTACAAGAATATACCAATTTAGTTATTCGTTTAGACACCTAAATCAATTGCCTGCCACTTGGAAAAGCATGTAACTACAAATGCAAATATAAACCTTGAAGTAAACAACAAAGTGAGTTTTCTAAAGCCACTATAAAATTCTGATTCATATCAACCGTTGGCCCTAAGATAAGTGATATGCTATGTAACGCCCGTAGATCAGGGCTAATCAATTTAGAGACGATAAGCGTCAAAAATGACTTTTTGATAAAAGATTATTTAGAATGATTAATCCTAACTAAGTTATAATATATGTTACAAGGTTTCCGTACATATAAAGAACGCCGAAATCCGAGTTATAACGAAGAAGTTATGACTTGTCGAAGTTTCGCGACAGAACCGGCATGACGCTGAATGACGTAAAAAGTGAATTTACGTTAGAGCGATATTTAGCCTTAGTGATCTAAATGAAAGTTGTAGACTTCGTTAAACCGTGAGTGTGCATAAAAAGAACGCCAAAATCTGACTTCGTATGAGGAAGTTATGTTTCGACTTAGCGGTATGCAGCCCGAATACTCGATTTGAGATCGAGCGGTTTTTAGCCGAAACAATCTAAATGAGAATCGAAGATCTCGTTGTTAGTAGTGAAACGATGAAAAGTTAGGCTAGAACGGACGTCATACGAAGAAGTTATGAATTTATAACGAAGTTTTTCTGTCCCGGC